ATGATAATAATTAGTTAAAAGAAATAACCCTCCACCTTTCCCCTGTCCCCTCTCATCCTTCTGAAAACAAAGAAAGGGCACAATGCCCATGTGCTGGTAGCATCTCAAAAGCTGTCTGGGAACACGCTCTTCTGCTGGAGTGACGGTACTTGCTGACTTTAGATTTGGAGGCTTGGTCATTGTAGACCCTGGCTAGATTGGGCTGGTAGTGCCTCAGGTGAAGTTCCTGACTCCATCCAAGCTTGCTTTGTGGGCATTATGAAAAATGAACAGAAATGCCCATGGGAAATGCCAGGACCAAGGTGGAGGTAGGACATGGATGGACATGGATACTATTCCCAAGTGTTGTCGGAATTTACCCCTGGGCTGGTAGGGCCAATGAACAGACTCTGGGGAGGTCAAGATAGGACAACCTGAGGCTGGCAAGCCTACATGCTGACTTGCTATCTGTAGAGAAAACTCTAGAAGAAAAGCCTTTGCCAGAGAGGCTTACCTGAAACAGGGTTGGGGTGCCAGAAGTACCCATTTTCCCAGAGGAGTCCCATGATCATTACTGGAGTCTGTTGGAGAGGACAGGCTGTGGTCAGGGGTGGGCAGGGTGATGTCTGACCCCTTACACTGATCTTGATGATGTGGGCTTCAGTACGTGGAGGAGGTCAGTGGGAGGGGCAGGGTGATGTCTGACCCCTTATATTGACCTTGCTCTTCTGGACGTTAGTACACAGAGGCAGAGACAGATTTATAGTAGAAGATATGTCTTTACTTTTGGAAGGTTTTGTTTTTGTTTGTTTGAGACGGGGTCTGTCTGTGTAATCTTGGCTGGCATGGAGCTTGCTATTGCTCTTGAAGTTTGAGAGCAACAGATACTTGGAATTATAGACTTAAGTATCAGCAGAATGTTAGAATCCAGTATACCTGGCCAGACTGCTCCACATCTGGGAGAAGCCATCACATCCCTAGCTCCTGCCTGGTTGGTGTGGAGGGTGAACCCTCCCTTCCCAGAGCCTGTCACCCTCTCACTCACCCTCCCTCCCTCTCTTCCTGAATCTGGTGGCAGCAAGCGCTCATCTTTGGGCAGACCTGAGGTAGTGCATACACAGTCACACTAACCGTGGTCAAATTTTGAGTGTTGAAACACCTGGCAAAAAAATCCTATTTCCACAATGTGTCTTTTCCATAGAGATGGGCTCAGAGGGGGCAGAGCTGGGATGCTAGGGAAAGGATCTGGAACCCTAACTTGGATGTGAGGGTGGGAGTGGGGCAGGGGTCAGCCTCTGAAAATAGAAGTAGCTAGAAAATCAGCCTCTTTTTGTCAGGTCCTGAGTGGGGGAGGGGGCTGCTGCCAACCTCCCCTGGCATTCTCCCTATCTGTCCTCTTGGTGGATTTTGTTGTAATTAGACAAGTTGTGACAAATATCCCATTGCTCTCTGGGCTGTAGACTTGTGAGGAACTCTGCCTGGAAACCCAGCCTCATTCACTTGGAGCCATAATTAGGCAAGAGAACAGTTCATGGGCCTCTGATTCAATAAAGACTCTTTTATGATGTTGGTTTTTCCCAGAAAAATAATACCACTTTGCTCCATTTATTGCATTTGATGTGTAATCATATTAGAGGCAGGCAGCCCAGGGGACTGATGTTACGTATGTGGAGATTTTTCACTAAAGTCTATTAGTGTCTTCAGAGAGAAACAGTGTCTCCGGAAAGAAAGAAAAAAGTGACACGGAACATTGTTGAATTTCTTTGAGGATTTTCTCTCTTGCCATTCAAAAGATGTTTTCTCCTTTCAGGGTGAGAGGTGACCTAGGAATGAAACCCAGAAAGTGAAACTGATGTGCCTGGCCGTGGGCACTGCCACCCTGTTGTTCTGGGCTGTCACATGTTGCTTACCCCAGCAGTGTATGTGGCCTTCATGTTGCCCCTACACTGTCCATATTTGCCCTCTGGGCAACACATGTGCTGCAGAGGGCCAGAGAAGGTACCCTCGTCCTATCTGTAATGCCCTAACGGATCTGTACCAGACCACTGAGCTGCAGGCACCACTGTAGCAGGCGGCTGGGGCAGCTAGCCTTGAGTAAATATAGCTGAGTTCCCCAGCAGCTTGGGTTTATCAGCAGGTGTGCCAGGCCCCAGCTGACACTAACAGGACATCTGTCCCAAGTGCATGGTGTTTGAAGGGTATGCTCTCCCAAGTGCAGATCCCCCCCCACCACTCCACCCCTCCCACCCCTGACCCCGCTCCTGCCTTCTCCTTTGCCACCTTGTCCCCAGAGCTGTTTTCGTGTTTCCCAATCAGGGAGTAAAATTACTCCCACAGATCTGCCCAGTGCCAGGGTGAGGGGGAAATCACCAATGGAATCAAGAACTTCTTTCCCAATTTGGGGTTTAGAAATCTCAGGCGATGAGGAAACTGCTGGTAGTCATTCGTAGGAGTAGTCTTAAGAAAGAGGGCATGACACTTCAGAATGCTGAAACTGGGTTGCATTAAACAGAGAAAATTCATTTAATTCCAGAATGCTGGGTAAAGCTATCCCCTCACCCCAGTCTCTTCAGACATCCGAGAGTGGAGAAGAGCTGTGGAGTTTCTAGGGGATGGTTTATCTGTGTATAATGAGGTCTATTATAATAAATATTCTTAATGTGGGCTGACAAAATGGATCAGCAGGTAAAGATGCCTGCTGCTAAGCCTGAGGACCTGAGTTCAGTCTCCAGGACCTACGTGGTGGAAGGAGAGAATGAACTCCTGCAATTTGTTTTTTGCCCTACAGGTGGTGCGTACAGGTGCAAGCACACACACACACACACACACAATTTAAAAAAAAAGAGAAATCTTAATCTAAGATTATTTTTGGAAGTTTTACCTTAGGCTTTCTGGATGTTTTACACTTTTGGAAGAAGTCTGTTACATTTTATGTTATTATATTTTGTACCCCTCTCACCAAGGAGTATAATTAGAACATCTGAAATCAGATTATCCAATTAGCACATTTTTTTTCTAATTAGCTTCTAGGAAGTTGTGATGAGATAAATCATTTTAGATTTCCAAATGGAACTTTGGCCATAGGGAGGCTCTGAGGAACTACACAAGGGAAAAATAAAAATGGGGTCTCTAAAGTTTGAATTCCCACCCACTCCACGGCTCCTGATAAACCCAATCCATCGTGCCTGCCCCTCAGACAGCATCAAGTGACCAAAGGACAGTTTATTGTCCTTGTCCACATAAACAGAGTAGGAGAAACTATTCATTCACGCCTGATATACTGTGATTTCCTCCACTTTTACCAATGTTAGGGGCTGTTCTTTGGAGGGAAAAAATGTCAGGTGGCATATAGTCGTTTGGTGTGTCCTTACTGAGTGTCTTGTAGTTTGCTTTTTTGTGTCTACTTGCAGTGAAGGCCATTGGGACAGGCAAGAGTGTTGCCCAGCCAAGGCCAGGAACTTCACGTGAGACAGTGTCTGCACTTCGTAACTGTTGCTGTTGCAGGCCTACACCCAAATCCTGAACTCCACAGAACCTTGAAAACCCAAGTTGCAGCTTTTGTAACTAAATCTTTGGGAAAACTTGACCCAAGCTGACCTCAGACTAAGAGTCTATATTTATCGTGGGTGTATGAATATTCATAGGTCTCACTGCAGAGGTATTAACATGTTTGATTACAGTTGCTGTCCCACTGGGGTATTGCATAATATGTAGCTTAGGCGTCACATTCCACTTGAAAACCTGGAAGGTTCACAAGCACATCTGGCCTTGAGAGGCTGGGTAAGAGAGCTGGATATAAGGCTTTGTGGCTCTTAGAGTGTCCACTTAATTAAGGTGACAAGTGATGTGCCCAGAGCTGGGACAGAGAGAGTCTCGTTTTCTAGGGTTCCTTTCTGGCTATAGTAGGAGCCAGCCAGCCAGCCTGCAGGCGGGCTGCCTAAGTAACTACACTTCTTCCAGTGTCGGTGGCTGTGCTGCGTGGCTCTCCCAGCTGCTTCGTCACAGGCCTTGAGAGCAAACTCTGCGTGCAGGCTGTGCTTACGTGTCTTCTGTATTTAGCCCAGCACGTGGTACATGCGAACAACTGTGGCTCAGGAACAAGCAGAAGCTTTTGTTTTGTAAAAGTCCAAATTACTAGTTTTTTTTTGGGTTTTTTTTTTTTTTTTTTTTTTTTGCCATGAGGGCCATCCATGTCTTATAACTAAGAAAGTCTCTGCCTTAGCAATGGTTCAACTTATGATTTCTGAACCTTACAAAATGTGTGGGAATAATACACTTACTATGTGTCCATCTGTCTGTCTCATCCAACTCAGAGCATTATATATGGTAACGTAGGTAGGTCTGAACCACCAAGCTGCATCACTCTGCCCTTTAGAAGTTTCTTTTTTGTTTTGTTTTGTTTTGTTTTTTTCAAGACAGGGCTTCTCTGTGTAGCTTTGCAGGCTGTCCTGGAACTAGCTCTTGTAGACCAGTTTGGTCTCAAACTCACAGAGATCCACCTGTCTCTGTACTGGGATTAAAGGATGCACCACCACTGCCCAGCTTCTTGTTTTAAAGACATATGTATATGTTAGTGCCCGTATGTGTGCCATGTGTGTCCTTATTGGTCCCCTGCAGCTGAAGTTACAGGTTGCGAGCTGCCATGTGGTGCTGGGAAAACCAAACCTGGGCTCTCTAGGAGCATCAAGTGCTCTTAACTTCTGAGCCATCGCTGCAGCACGTAGACTTTTGACCTTTTCCTGGGCTAGCAATGTGCCCTTCTGACTGACAGGGCATGGCATGAGCCGATGAAAGTTGAGGAACGACTCTAGTCTGTTCTGTTATTGTAGCCTGACAGCAGCCATAGAGAATGCGTCAGTGAATGAATACACCTATGTTCTAATAGCACTTTCTAGAAACAGATGGCTCAGTGGGCAAAGCCCTTTTGTGTCGATTGGATCCCATGTAAAGGCTCAACAGAGTTTTACATCATCCATAATGCACTCACTGTGGTCTGGAAACATGAGTGACCTGCCCTGGGCTCGGGAGCAGATATATGTATTTATATGGAAAATACACCTAGGCCCAGCTCCAGCTGTGCTGGAGGGGCAGGGGCACCTGGCTCTCCACCCTCTGGACCCTGAACTGTGCCCCATGGTGGTCTAGCCATCAGCACAGGCCAGACAGCACTGCTGCTGGGGGAGCTAAGGAGGAGCCAAGGCTCTGAAAGTCAGTGTTCTTACCAAAAGAATTTCTGGCAGAGAGCGATTGGTTATCGTAAAGAAAGCCAGCGGCTCTGATGGATGGCTTTTAGATCTCCTGGCTTGTTCATCAGAGACCAGAAAGGCCAAAAAGCTTTTCCTTGCAGCCCAGGATGAAATCCAGCAGGGCCTCTGACCCCCCACCCTCAAGCCTGCTGGCCTGGAACTGACTCATGGGGGTAGTTGGAAGGAGGACCAAACCCTGCAGGCTACTGGCCCCTGACCAGCAAACCTGGCCTCTGTAAGGCCAGCCCTTGTCCCAGTGGCTTCTCTCTGAAGGACAGGTTTCCCCCATGACTCCTTGGGCCTGGCATCCTCTCCCTGGACCACTTTCTAGCCAGGGTGGGGCTGGCACATAGCTTTCCTTCTACATCGCATTCCAAACAAGGGCTGATATCTAGTTGGCTTTTCTTTCCCTTCTATCATGGTTTTGTGGGTGACTGGCTATTTTAGGGATTCTGTTTGATGGGAACTTCCCCTTCTTCCAGCTCCCTGGTAAGCCTTGTGTGGGTCATCAGCCTCAGAAGAAAGGCATGGGCCAACTCAGTCAAGAATGTGTGCCCAGCATGGGCCTGCACAGAGTGGGACTGTGTGTGATGGGTTGGGTGGCCAGTGTTTGGTAGTGGCACAGCCAGGCCTAGAAGTGTCACCTAGGATAGCAGGGAGGTGTTCCTCTGACCATTGCCAGGAGTCAGACCCTGCCTTAGTTTTGAGCTCCTGCACCAGAATGGTAACGAGTCCCAAGAATTGCAGGGGCGACTGTTGCCAATGAGAATTCCAGGCATCCTCATGTGACGAAGGTGCTTCTGGGACCATTTTCAGATGGGGTGGACCAACAGGTGAGGCACAGTGTAATGTGTGTTGAGGCAGCGGAGCAGAAAAATATTCTAGCCTGGCATCGGGCTGAGGTCAAGAAAGGTCACTCAGAAAAGGTGAGCTAAGCCTTGACCAAACCATTTCAGTGAGGGCACAATTCTGAACCCTTGACACAATATCTTTTTTGCCGGGGGAGGGGGTGTTCTATGATGTGTATGGTGAGAGAGTGTGTGTGCACACTTGCAGAGGACCTTTTCCAGTAGAGAGTTCTCTCCTTCCATCGTGGGTTCTGAGCGTTGAATTTAGGTCACCAGGCTTGTGCTCCACGTGCATTTACCTGCTGAGCCAGCTCACTGGCCCTGAAAAGTGTTTTGGTTTTATTTCCATTTTCCTACAAGGAGAAAAAAAGTTACTGACTTTTTGTTTTTGCTACTTTATGCCACCCTTTCAAAGCCTACAATGAGTCAGTTTCATGGTTTAAACCTAAAAACGTGTGGAACATTCCAGAAGTCTGTCTTTGCCCACTGCTTTGGTCACTCATAGACCCACCTGAAGCTCTGGACTGTGTAAAAGGTAGGGCAGGGTGCAACCAGAGGGCCAGCCTGCACCTCCTACCCACCACATTCTGAAGTCATACCCACTTGTGTTAGTAGTCATGGACAGTATGTGATTGATTGCAGTCCTGAGTTGAGTGATAGAGAAGTCACCTCGTCTCCTTTTTAGATTATGTGTGTGCATGCAGGGATGCATGCCTGGTGGCAAGGAGATCCCTGGGAGCTGCAGTTACAGGTGTTTGTGGGATATCTGGCTTGTTACATGAATGCTAGACTCTGAACTCTGGTCCTCATGATGGCACAGCAAGGGCTGATTAACCCCTGACTCATTTCTCCAGCCCCTGGTTTGGGGGTTTGATTTTAAGACAGTCTCGCTTAGCCCAGGTTGGTGTCCAGCTCACTATGTAGCCAAGGTTGACCTCCAACTCTTGCTGCACCTGCACCACCTTGCCTGGCTTGTCTTTGGGACCCTCGGTCAGGGAGCTGTTAGAAAGGCAGGGCCCAGCTGCCATTCCTCAGGCTCACACCTGCATGTTCTTCCACAGTGCTGGCTCCAGGGTTCCTGGGATGGTCGTCTTCTTACCTGAATCAGGGCTGGCCTCGGCAGGGCTAGAGAGAGGCCCCTCTTGCTGAGCCATATCAGACCTGAGACTCTCGCTTGACTCTCGAGACCCAGTTGCTGCAGAGCGGATTCATGTCCCCCCTGTGAGACGTCACTTCCCTTAGTTCAAATCCATGGATCCCTGTGTCAGAGTATACCAACCGGGTTCTAGGCTGATTGACTGGGGGACACTGGGCTAGGGTTGGGTAAGGGACCAAACGTCTCTACCTCTCCTCACCTGGGCCAACTGGATGACCAACCACCTTACTTGGCGCATGTTCAAGGACAGCAAGAAAAATGAGGGACTTTCAGGGGCAGCTGTGTTTTCTGACTCAGTCATAATGCCCCTAAAAATCCTTATTGTTCTTGCAGTGTGCATCAGGCAGCTGTGGGCCAACCCAGCCCTCGCCCACCTGGCCCTTCCAGGCTGGAAAGAACTTGTGTTGTCAGATTGGAACGTACCCTCTCCCCGAAATGAGGAGGGATGGGCACATGCTGGTTGTTGAAACAGTTAGCGTGACTCCCACATTAAATTTGCATACGTGTTCACTCTTTTGAGGGTGTGGGGAGGGCTGGGGGACATTCCTGGGCTGCCCTGTTTCATATAAGGTTGTTGCGGGGAGGAATAGTTGTCTTATGGGATCCATCTCCCTCTCCTGTTTCCTGAGAAGTGGGGCAGGTACCTGGGCAGAAATTTGCCTGTTTTTTTTTAAGCCTCGAGTGAAGAGACTCAGAGCCAGTGGCTATGTTGATCTGGGCATTTCTCCTCTGCTGTGACCCCAGAACTTGCTTATTCTTAGGTGGACATTCTCCAGCCCCGTTACTGCAGAGACCAGCTCCATGCTCAGCCAGTGCCTCCGCCCTACATCTGTTTTGACTTGGGGGCCATGCTCCTCTTCCCTAGCATTACCAGGCCAGAGAGATGTCACCAAAACTCAAAGCAGCAGTCTTGTGTGCCAGCTGAGGTGGCTTATCCTCGGATAAATGAGTAATAAGCATCATGGGACTTGTTACAGAAAGTCACTCAGTATCTCAAGGACCTCACATCAGCAAGGGACAGTCATCTTCAAGATGTCTTCAGGTCCCCAGGAGCCAGCTTGGAAGATGGTGTTGGTGCTTGGTAGATGCTGGACCACCATGACTGCCCTGCTGGCCCTAGGTCTCTGGGCTCTGTGCCCCCAGCTCTGCTAGAGACTGCTGGCATCTCACTACCAGGTAAGGGTTAGACAAGATTTACTCTTGCAGGTGGAAGATGAGTGAGGCTTTGGTGGACTGAGATTCTCACACTTGGGATGGACAAGGGCACCAGCTGTCCCATTAGCTCTAACAGCTTTGCTGGGTTCTGCTAACTTCAGTCACCATCTCCCCTGGAGCCTCTCTGCCCGTGCCAGTCCCTCCCCAAACCACCTTGCTCCTTCCCATGGCCCTCATTCTTAACCAAAGCATTTGCAACAGGACAGGGCTCGGGGGGGGGGGTGGCTTGGTCAGTAAAGTGCTTGTCACAAGTTCCATCCTGAGCACTACTCACCTGTGATCTCAGGTGTCGAGGCAGAGACAGCTCTGAGGGGGACTGTCCAGCCACGCAGTCTAGCCAAATGGAGGTTCAGTGGGAGATCCTGTCAGAGAATAAGAGCAGTTGAGGAAGGTACCTTGAGGTGGACCTCTGGCCTCCACACACATGAACACACACACACACACTCACAAAGACAGTACATCAGGTGGGTTTTTGTTTTTTCAGGTCAGGGTCTCACTATGTAGATCAGGCTGGCCTCCACCTCACCGAGATCCACCTGCCTCTGCCTCCCTAGTGCTTTCAAATACTGTAGACTATTTGAAAACATGTGCTGTCAAGTATGCATCAGAGGGAAGGATGAGACTCATAAGCACCCAAGCCTGAATGTCTGTCGTGAGCCAAGCCTTCACACTTTCCTTCTGGCCCCACCCCATTAACAGGATGGGTACTTTTATTTTTGGGGAAGAGGCATACGCCATGTTGCACACATGGGGGTCAGAGGACTGCCTGTGGGTCTCCAGGGATCAAACAGACCATCAGGTTTGGTGGCAAGTGCCTTTCCTTGCTGAGCCATCTTGCTGGTGCCTTTTAAAAATGCATTACTGTGTTCTCTTTTTGCCTTCATATGGGTTCCTGGGATTGAACTCAGGACCTTACTGGGCAAGTACCTTTGAACCAGAGGGGGGCCGTTTTATGGGAGCCAGGCCTCTCACCCAGTAAGCCACAGGCCTGTGCCTTCAGGAGCCTGGATTTCTTTTTTTTTCCAAGGAGGATATGGATATGCCTGGCCACTGCTGCCTTTCAGCCAGGAACTCAGAGATCTTACAGTCTTGCTGGAGGGAGTCTGAGGTGAGGTCCCCCATGAGGCTATCCTTGACCTACAGCTCTGTCAGGCTTTTTGACCCTTGAATCACTTAAGGCAATGGTTCTCAACCTTCTGCATGCTGCAATCCTTTAAATAGAGTTCCCCATATTGTAATGACCCCAACCATAAAATTATTTCATTTCTATTTCATAACTATAAACTTGCTACTGTTATAAATCATAATGTAAATAGGCAGGATATCTGATATATGGCCCCTAAAAGGGTTGCAACCCACAGGTTGAGAAAAGCCAACTTAAGGAGTGTTAAGGGTGTCTGTTAACACAAACTAGATCAGAGTTGTAGGGATCAAGACAAACCTGAGGTGGGTGCCTTGACTTGCTGTTGGCTTTTTCTTGCATGCCTTTGTGTTTTATTTAGCAGCCAGGAGGAACTATCAGGCTACAAGCCCACCAGAGGCGATAGAAGACATTCCCTCCATCTCTGTGGAGAACCCCTTGGAGGATGGGACCACTTGCATCTGGCAGGCAAAGGTGATTAGGGAATCTACTGAGGACCCAGCACGGAAATGACAGAGCCAGGATTCACATCTGCAGTTCTGACTCCAAGGTCAGTGACATTTCTGTAATAATGGTGGTATTCATCATTAGTATATAGAAAGCTAGTACATTTTATAATATGTAAGTTTTTACATATATATACACACACATGTGTGTGTGTGTGTGTGTGTGTGTGTACCACGTGCATGCTGGTGCCCACAGAGGCCAGAAGAGACGGTCAGGTCCCTAGGAACGAGTATAGGTAATTGTTAGCTGCCCAACATGGGTGCTGGTGACTGAACACCTCTTCAGCCCCCTAGTGTAATACTGAATAGCAGCCACCTGGTCATACTATCCAGAGGTGGGTGGGAGCAGGTACCTGACCCACAGGAGGGTGGGTCACTTCCAGATGGCAAGAGTATACTGGCCTAGACCCTCAGTTGCTATTCAGTCTCTTGCACTACCACCAATTCAAGCTCTAGATTGGGCACAGTCAAGTCCCTTTTACAGACCGGAACAGTTATCTGCTTGCTGGGTGACAATGGTAAGACCTCTCTCTGCCTGCTGCTTCTCTACTTAGGGACAACCAGGAAGGAACTGGCCATGCTTGGGGCTGGTGTCCAGGGAAAGCCCCTGCTGCTGGGGTGCCATGGTCTTTGGCACACTGTCCCTCCTTCACTTCCAAGGCAACTGTAGAAGCACAGCCTGAGGACTAGCTGAGTTGGCTGTCAGAGCAGTGAGCTGACCATGGTGCATTGTTAGCTCCAGGAAGTGGTTAGCTATTTTCCAGCAGGTCTGCAGAGCCGGACAGCCAGCCTGCCTTGGAATTGGAGGATGGGAGTCGAGAGCACTGCTTTCCTGGAGCCCCTGGGCTCTGGGCCAGGCCCTCAGGCTTCCTTTAGAAGGGGGCCCCATGATTGGGCGAGCAAGCCATTCTTGCCCAGCTTGGCACAGGCCCTCTCCCCTTCTCAGTGCACACTCTTGACTATGGTATCCATGAAGCCTACTTTCCAGAGGGCAGGAGGGCTGTGTAGACCAACTTGGCCAGCACCTCAGTAGAGGAATTGCACAGCATGGACTCTAGCCTGCGTAGTGGGGCTGAGAGGAAGCCCTCAGCTGCCTTGTCAGACCTGGGCCACAAACCCCTGCCACTGTGGAACTAAGAGCTCTGAGCCTAGGGCGGCCTTGGGAAGGCTTACGTCCTCTCTGGGCCTGCTGCCCATTTGGTAGCCATAGGAGCGCTCTGTAGACTATTTTGCATACAGAGCTGACACTGTTGCTGCCTGCCTTTTCCCTTCCAGGAGGACACTTGAGCCGGGAACGCTGGTTCCTTGGAGATAGTTGCACTGCCTGACACTGAGGTGACATTTGGGTCTTCACATGATGGCTGGTGTCTTCTGCCACTGATCCTGCAAGATTATCTTTCCTGACAGTTCTTCTCTGGACTCTGTCCCTGGCTGAACTGGAGGCCGTTGGCTCTGGGTTGAGCTGTAGTCCTTGCCTTTGTCCTGGATTCCCTGAGGTTTGGGTCACAAAAGTCCAGCACATAAGGAGGTATCCTTCCCTTGGGAGTTTCAAGTTTCCACAGCTGCAGGACTCTGCCTTAGGCCATGGCTTCTACACAGCTCCCCCTTGCCCTGCCAGATGTCTTGGGGTCAGACACCCAGCAGCTTCTTTCTGGTTTACCTGACTGCTAGAAGCAGGACTCCCCTGACACTTTTTTTTTGGTCCTGGAGTTTAGACTCAGGACTTTAGACATACTAGAAAAGTACTATACCACTGGGGTACATGCCCAGGCCTTTTTTGATTTGAGACAAAATCTTGCTATGTGGTCCACCTTGGGCTTGAACTCATAACCCTTTTGCCTCTATCTCCGGAGTCCTAGCATTATAACTGTGTACCACCGTGCCCATCTGAATTTTCTGTTTTGACTCTTGTGTCAGCAAAGCAACCTTGAATGGAAGTAGAGTCCATTCCTGATGGCTTGGCCATTGCAGAGCTGTCTAGACAGGAATGGATAAGTGGAAGGACGAGTAGCTGTCAGTTTTCCAAGGACCTTGTTTCTATTGATATATTGTTCCTTCAAAGGTGACCCTTTAATCTGTGTCACCAGGGTTCAAGCAGGGCCAGCCATACCCCCTGGTTTCAGAGGAAGGCATGTGTTCCAGGCCTGGGCAAGGACTGCAGAGTTCCCCCTCACACCCACATTGGACTTCAGCTGCATCTTTTCATGGGAGTTAAGTTGACAAGATGTCAGCTTGGAATTGCTGGTGGCCAACTTATGCAGCTGATGATGAAGCCAACAAAGAAGAAAGAAAACAAAGATTATGCTGTGTGGACTTGTTCTTTCTATCCAACAAGCCCCTGGATCGAGTCATGCCTGAAGCCAACACTTGGACTAACCTGATTATATGAGTCAATGTTTTTTCTGTTGTTGTTTTTTCTAAAAGAAACTCATTTTGGATTTGCGTTACAGAATGGCTCCTTGTACAGGCAATGGTTGTTTACCTTTCTTGGAATAGCATTGTTGAGATGTTCTTTCTTTACATGCAACAAAATTCGCCAGTTCTAAGTGTACAATTCCTAGTCTTTTTCAGGAACATATACCCTTGTAACCATCACCATCAGATTGGAATATTGCTTACCTGCCCTGAAAAGTTCCATCCAAGCTCTTGATGGTCAGTTTTTTATCTGGATGGTCACATGGTTTCTCCTAGTGTGTTTTTCTGATTCATTCCTCCATGCACATTAGGGTCCATCTACTCCGTTGTAGGCTGGGCAGCATCACACCCTGTGGTCACACCACTATTTCTTTATCCATCTGGTGTACAATGATTGATATGAATAAAGCTGTTTTGCATGTTCAGATATCATGCCATAGGTGTGTGTTTGCATGTGGACAGCAGGTTCACTCTCCAGTTGAGGAAATGGGTTTGTGAAGGTAGAAATACTTGTCCAAGCTCACACAAGTGGCGCAGGGAACCCAGGGAGAGGCAGTGATGCAGTGGAAGAGCTTCGTGTTGGGTGTGCTTAGCAGAGGGGTTCGGGGCCGGGCGGCGGCGGCACACTCGTTTAATCCCAGATCTCGGGAGGCAGAGGCAGGCGGATGATTGCCAAGGGGAGCTGTCGGAAGAGCCAGAGCTCGATCTTCACCTGTCACTGGGAAGCTCGGTGTGATTCATAGCCTCACTGTGAATTCCAGGTCCCAGGGATGGGAGGTGAACTCTGGATGGATATCCAGAGCCAGATCGATTCCCTCTGTGAGGATTCAGAGCTCTGCCCAAGCTACCCAACCCCGCCAACATCACTCTGAGGCACAGGGAAAAGACTGGTGCTGCTATTCCAGCCACAGACACAAAAACCTTTTCCCTTTGGCTGCCATCAACAGGTCACAAGTTCCTCCTGCACATCTAGAGGTCAGGCTAATTCCAGCTTTAACCCTCTCACAGCTGTCACAGCCACAACTCTTCTGGCCTCTGCCCAGCTAATCCCTTGGAGTGAAGGAGGCTTTGTCTCTATCTGTGAACTCATTTGGGCATCACCTGTGAGATCCTTGTGTCCAACAGTGCCCAAAGTAAAGGTCTTTCAGGGTTGTTTGTTTGAGACAGGGTCTCACTATGTAGCTCTGGTTGGTCTGGAACTCACTATGTAGACCAGGCTAACTTTGAACTCATGGAGATCCTCATGCCTTTGCCCCTGGGTTTAAAGACCCAGTACTCAGGAGCAAAGCTGTCTTCACTTGAGCTAGCTAGTCCCTGGGAGAGTCCTGGTTAATGACTCTGCTGCCCTATGGCACATGTAGAGACCTATAGGCAAAACCATGGCTAGCCTACTTTGTGCTACACCCCACATGGGCATGCTCCAGCTCTGGAGGGAGGGACTGCAAGGGAAACTGAGGCACAGATGTGTGACACATCTGTTGCCTCAGAGCCCCTCAGTTCCAGCTGTCCATCAAGTCCTTGGCTGTTTGATGTGGCCAAGGACCCTGTGGACACCCACAGAATCTTAACAACTGAAGGTGACCTGCTGTTTGTTCTGAGTCTGACTCCATCAGGTAGCAGCCCAGAATGTGGCCGGGCTCCCAGAAGGTGACCAAGGGAGCCACAGAACAGGCACGACCCAACTGTATGATGAGATGCTTGTAGCGGATGAACTTTGAGCAGTGAGGGACGGGAGGGTAGCCCTAGTGTTCACTCGGTTGAGAAAGCCTCAGGTTTCCAGGAAGCCCCGGTGGCCTGGCAATGCTGTACTGCTCCAACAGAGGGTGGGTGTAAAGACGAGTCAGTGAGCGACCCCCTGTGGAGTAGGTGTTGCTGGTGTGAGGTGGAGAGTGACTTCTAAAAGTCTGTGGTGGTGAACTGGTCTCATGATATTGTCATGAACGTTTTCTATCTAGGGCCTCATATATCACTGTCTGTTCATATATTCAATTTTACAATTCCCTAGTCATGTGCCCACTCTCTGGGGTACCCGGCCTCAGCCTGCCTTCAAGGAGCTTGTTATTTAGCAGTGGGGGGATTGACAGTTTTATTTCAGCCAGGTGACAGTTTTATTTCAGGTGTTTGGATAACTCTGGTACCCTTCTACAGACCTAGTAATGATGCTCGGTCCTGAGCAAGCTGGAGTGAATGCGGCTTATCTAAGACCGAAGGGAAGGCAGAAAGGCAGTGGGTGGGCCCTACGGGGCTCTGGGACTGAGGGAATACCAACTGTGTGGCAAGCTCTGTACTTAGTTTGTATGTGGGAATTTCTGTCACATCTCACTTATGGGGAAATAGGCTCAGAGGGGTAAATCCTCTTCCTGAACAGAAAGGGGATTTGAATCTGCCAGTGTGTGGTATTCGGGGGCTCGAGCGGAGAGAGGGCCTGGAGGTTGTTGGACTGTCTCAGGTGACATGCTCGCAGCTACAGGCTCCCCCAGAACTGTGTAACTGCCCTCCTGGTTCTTCCCACATCCTCCCTGGAACACAGTGATTCGTGTCCCCAGTAGAGCTTGGTCCTCACAGCTCCATGCTGCCTTCATCTTCATCTCTCCATCTATCATGCTTTGCATTTGGTACTAAGGGTGAGCCCCTGCTCAAGTCTTATTACCAGGAACATCTCCTTCCGTCCCCCCAGCATCTATTCTCTTCTCCCAGAGGCAGTTTACCTCTGCCTAGGAGAACTGCTTGTGGGGTGTGTGTATGTGAACCCAGGGCCTTGCACATGTTAGGCAAGCACTAAGTTACCCCCAGCTCTTAAATCTGTTTTAAGATAAGGTCACAGTTGCCCAAGCCTACCTTGACCTTATTCCAAAACCCAAGCAGGCTTTTTTTTTTTTTTTTTTTGGTTTATGAGACAGGGTTTCTCTGTATTGTTTTGGAGGCTGTCGGTCCAGCCCGGCCTCGAACTCACAGAGATCCACCTGCCTCTGCCTCCCAAGTGCTGGGACTAAAGGCGTGTGCCACCACCGCCCAGCTCCAGCAGGCTTTGAACTTGTGATCCTCCTGCCTCAGCCATCTGAGCAGCTAAAATTACTAGACTGCACCACCGGTAGTTTGTTGTTATTGTTCGGGAGGGGCTTGCTACAGTACACATGTAGAGGCCAGAGAGCAATATTACGAAGTCGTTTTTCCCCTTCCACCTTTGCATGGATTCTGGGAATAAACTCAGGTGGCTAGGCAAGCATCCCCACTGTTGAGCCATCTTGTAGGTTCACAATATATATATTCTGGTCCTGGAATATATATTGTTTTGTTTTCGAGACAGGGTTTCTATGTATTGCTCTGGAGGTTGTCCTGGAACTCACTCTGTAGACCAGGCTGACCTCAAACTCATAGAGATCTGCCTGCCTCTGCCTCCCATTGCTGGGATTAAAGGCGTGCGCCACCAGTGCCCAGCTGGTCCTGGATTATTTTAATCTTTCTGAAAACCAAGTGGTCAATGATCTTACTGAAGCCAATCCTAGTCTAGTCTACCTTGGTTGATTCAAGGACTGGACATGATCCAAACAGAATATCCCAAATCTTTGTGGATCATAAGCTGTAAACGCCAGATTCCAGCTACCAAGAGCTCGAGAAATGAGAGCCTGAGGCTAGCCCCTCTCCCTCTGTGCTGGCCAGTTTATGTCAACTTGACACAGGCTGGAGTCATTTGAGAGATGGGAGCCTCAAGTGAGAAAAAGCCTCCAGAAGATCCGGCTGTAGAGCATTCTCCTAATTAATGATCGGTGTGGGAGGGTCCAGTCTATTGTGGGTGGGGTCACCCATGGACTGGTGGTCCTGGGATTCTGTAAGAAGGCAGGCTGAGCAAGCTATGGAGAGCAAACCAGTGAGCAGCACCCTCTATGGTCTCTGCATCAGCTCCTGCCTCCAGATTCCTCCCTGTTTGAGTTCCTACCCTGACTTCCTTCAGTGATAAACAGTGCTGTGGAATCATAAACAGAGGAACCCTCTCCTCCCCAACTTGACTTTGGTCATGGTGTTTATCACAGCAATAGAAACCCTATGACACCCTCTCTGCGACTGGCTCATATGGGCAATGGAGTTCCACCCCCACTTTACCTTTGAATATATCAAGGCAATCCAGGAAGGTGCTTTGCAACCAGACAGGATGGAAGCGCTCTGAAGGAAACTGTACTCCTGCTCTACTTCCTTTTCACCTCAGCTTCACGGAGGACCAACTACTTCACATACTTCTCTCTGTATGCGTTCCATGACTCAGGGCGATGCACGTAGCCACTTCTTTCTTGACTTCTAACTTTAGACCAACCTCCAAGGTAAGAAACACAAGAATTTAGCTCACTTATGTCCCTACTGTGAGGACTCAGGCATTATGCTGGACTGCCTTTGTCACCTGGCAGAATGCACTCAGGCAGTATCCTGGTCAGCCCAGGGTTCCATGGTTGCATAGTCTTCATGCAGGTACAAAGGACCCCTTTAAAAGAAAGACCCCTGCCCACTTACGCTCTCGTTTCCTTTTCTCTTTCCTGCTGTTCCTCTGGGGGCAGACAGGACTTTTCCTGTCTCCCTCTTCTCTTCTGTCCTCTCTCTGACTCTTTACCTCTTTTCTCGTTCCTTCCCCCTCCCTCCCCTTTCTAATAAAACTTCTCACTTAAGCTCTGTCTGCCTGGCGTGTTTGTTCCCCACCTTGGTCAACCTCACCTGCCATGGAATCCGCCAAGGTTCACTACTCGCTTTATCGTAACACCTACGCTATTCCTTCTGTTTTTGAGAGAGTCCCATACAGCCCAGATGGGCCTTGAACTTGAAATCGAGCTGAATGATTCTGAACTCCAGATCCCCTTGTCTCTAACCACTAGGGTCACAGCCACAGGCTACTGCACCAGCTCTATCATATCTTTTTATCTTCGAAGTTTGCAGTACACCAGGACTCTATATCCTGCTGTCTTGCCTCCCTCTGTTTTGATTCACCTTTAGACATGTTTTTGTTTTAAATCTGCCCTGCCCTTTTAAAATAAGAACTATGGACCCCCCCCACAATGACTCTGCTTAATCATAGCCCACCCTTGTCACCTGTCACTTTTTGTTTGTTTTTCTAGACAGCATTTCTCTGTATTGTTTTGGAGGCTGTCCTGGAACAGGCTGGGAACTCACAGAGATCCGCCTGCCTCTGCCTCCTGAGTGCTGGGATTAAAGGCGTTTGCCACCACCGCCCGGCTACCTGTCACTTTTTACCTGGTTCATGTTATTGTCTCTTGCATCTCACAACCGAGGTTTTACAGTTTTGGCCACAAGTTAACTCAGGAAAAAGCAAGCTGAGGCATGGCTCATGGGTAGACCACTCACCTTGCATGCCAGGGACCCTGGGTTCCATCTGCAGCAACTTAACATCACTATGATTGTCAGGTTCTGTTCATTGTAAACTCCCCTTTTATTTTGCTGTGCGTGTGTGGTTCTGGGGATGGAAGCTGCTGGGCAAATGCTCTACCACTGGCTCCACCTGTGGCCCCAAACTCCCCCTTTAACTGAGCTGGTTTGATCTGGCTTTGTCGGGTATGGCCACTGTGTCTTAACTTTCACACTCAAGTTTTGTTGACTATGGTGTTTTGAGAGAAAATGGCTCCCATAGACTCATATATTTGAATGTCTGGTTCCCAGTTGGTAGACTGTTTAGGAAGGATTAGGAGGTGTGGCCTTGTTGGAGGAGATATGGTTTTTCTGGAGAAGGTGTGTCAATGGGGTGGGCTTTACAGTTTCAAAAGCTCACACCAGGCCCTCCTCCTCTGCCTGCTGCCTTTGGATCAGGATGTAAGCTCTCAGCTACTACACTATCCACATGCCTGCCTGCTTCCCGCCATGATGATCTTGAAGTAACCCTCTGAAAAGATAAGCAAGCCCCCAATGAAATTCTTCTATACTCTGCCTTGGCCATAGTGTCGCCTCACAGCCATAGAACAGTAACTAAGACATCGACTTAGGTGCAATGTCTACATGCTCAAGCCAGAGCTTTCCAGGGTCAGCTTCCTGGGCCTAAGAGGAAGTGTCAAGCCAAGTCCCAAGCTCTGAAAAGAGCCATGCTTGCTTGAATCCTATGCTGTCACTGTACTGAAATTCTTAAAGATGTCTAACCAAAGTCTCAAAAATTCTGCAGCCACACTGTGCTCACATCTTGCTAGAAGTCTGAACCTCCTGAGGAATGTTCTCCTTCCAGAGCCAGCCAGGGGAAAGACAGGGTCCCCAGGCAAGTGAAGGGCCTAGGCCTGAGTGGGAATTCTGGGAATGTATGGATCTTTGTTAGTTCTGCTGAGGAAGAGGGATCCCTGCATTACAAAGTGACACATAGCTGGGTGTGGCACATACCTTTAACCCCAGCACTAGGAGACAGAGGTAGGTAGATTTCTGTGAATTCCAGGCCAACCTGATCTACAGAGAGAGTTTCAGGACAGTCAAGACTGTTATACAGAGAAACCCTGTCTCAGAACCCCCCCGAAAGTGGCCCATGGGCCCATGTTCCCAGGATCTGCCCATGTTCCAGGGCTTATGACTGGCGGGTCCTGCATTCAAGTCTGAGTTCCTAGCTCTCAGATTTAGAGCCTTTTGCTCTACCAGGCTGCCAGAGTGACACAGATGTAGTCTACCTAGGAATGCAAGCAAACCCAGTTTGCTGTGTTTACTGGTGAGGAATCTGCCCACTCTAGGCCACTTACTGCAGGAGACCAATGAGGAAGAAGAGATCTGAAAGTGCCTATTAAACAGAGGGCAGTGCTTTATAGATGGATTCCAACCGATGATGCAAAATGAATGAACTCTAATACCAAGTGGGTGTGGTAGCACATACCTGTAATCGCAGCACTTAGAGGCTATGGCAAGAGGATGGAAAGTTCAAGGCCAGCCTGGGTTACAAAGTGAGATTTTGTCTCAAAACAAATACACATACATGTATACATACATACATGTTATATACATACCTATATGCCACATTTATGTGTATATACATACACCATTTTCAGTTTTCAATGAATTGAATTAAATAACAAGAACCAGTCTCAAATATCAAATACACACACGCATACACACAAAGTGCCCACCATGTGTCATCTCCTGACAGAACTCAATGCCATCTAATGACACAGTCTTACTAAAACAAACTAAAACAAACACTAGAGTGCACACTTGACTCTGACCCAGCCTCTATGCCTAACTGCCCATTTACAGGAGAAGCAGAAGATGAGGGACCTGTTGAACTACACCACAGGGCAGCAATCAGCAGAGTCCAGACGCAGCCAGACACCACAAGACGGGCTAGTTTCTCCCAGTAAATAAACTGCAAGTAAAGACAACATGAAAAACCCTGAGACCAGAAGAGGCTCGGGAGACACACTGAGCAGTGGCGATGTGTAGACTTTATGTGGGTCTGAACCTAAACTGATAAAAAGCGATTAGGTAATAAACTGACACTGAGCATCAACTGGCTCTCAGCTAATACTAGGGGGGACTGGTTGTTTTAGAGTGCTCATGGTGTTGTCACCATGATTCCTGATAGGCTTTTGTCAGGAGCAGTCCTTGGGGAGACACATACCAAAATATTTATGTATGAGATGATGTCATGCCTGGGATTTGTTTCAGAACAGCAGGGAGGATGGATGGAGAGGGAGGAGGAGGGACCACAGGAAGCAGCATGGGCTGATCGCTGATGACTGACACATTGAGTGGTGAGAACAAGGGGGTCTGCTTTACTTTGCCTGGCTTTATGTCTAAGTTTCTTACCTGTTTTCAGTGCTGGGGAATCGAACAGGCAGGTATTGGGGGTGGGACAGTTGAAGGGCTGCCATGCCTCTAGGAGCACAGTGACACTGACTTAGGGGTTCCCATATTGCTCCTTCCTTCCCCGGGCAGGCTGGGCCCTGGAGGTTGCGGTTACTGGCGCCCTGGCTCACATCAAAAGAGAGCTTTCTTAGTGTCTGGATGAGCTCATGGCTCTGGACACTGTAATTGTTGAATAATTTTGGCCCCAGCCCACAGCTCAGGCCCTTCCCTCCCACCCCTCAGGCACGTCCTGAGCCGTGTCAGGCCATCTGGACACCAGCACGGGCTGGAGAAGGTGCAACAGCTGGTGGGACCATGGTGCATTTGCAGACACAGTTCTCAGAGCCTCCCTGGTGCTGTGATTCAGGGCCAGGCTGGGATCCAATGACCTGGAGGGTCAGCAGGGCTCAGTCCCACCTCCCAGGAGCGCTTCTTGCAGAGAGGGAACCCTGAAGACGTTGGTGCCCAACGTGCTACATGACTTTGGCCTTGGGGTCACCATCCAACAGGAGGCAGCTCAGTGTCTCTCTGTGCATCATTGTTTACCTTTGGGGAGGAGTAATGCTTTCTGGATAACATTCTTGGACCCCTGCCTATTAGCAGCCTCTGTCACTATGGCAACCAAAAGACTGCTATATGCTTCCAACCATCCCCTGACTTGCAGACCACTGTGCGTCTTTAAGAGTTTTGCCAGACTTGTAAAGCCTCTCTGCTTCTGTTGCTTGATAACTCAAACCAAGTTGGAGAAGGACAGGGCAGAAGCTATGGATGATGTCTTTCCTCAGTCTTGCAAGAATATGAAAGCACAATGGTTCTTGAAGTGTAATTAGGACTTTACAAGGTGCCCAAGTTCTGGGGACTGAATGAGAGGAGCCAAACACTTCAGTGAAAGGATCCCCTCACCTATGGATCCAAAGGCAAGCAACAAACCAGAACATGGAGTATTTGGAGAAGTGCAGAAATGCTCTGTGGCCCCGAGTTCGGCGTGGACTGCTAACCTATTCAGCAGAGCAGGGCATCGCTGTGGATGGCAGGAATTAGCAAAGCTTTGCAAATGGGGTAGAAATGCACCTCCCTTCTAACGGAGGAGTAGGTTTTCCACCCTAGTCCCTGTGGACTGAGAAATCACAGATGCCTATGTGTGAGTCAGAAACTGTCTCACTCCTCCTGGGTCAAATGCAAGGAATGCAATGGAACAGCTGGGGCTTCTTGCCCTGGTGGTGCCCAGTGGGAGAGGGATTTGGACAGTGACAGTGAAGGAGTGAGTTACTCAGAGTTCTTAAGCTATATAAGGACACCGTGTGCGTGCCCATGTGATTACAGACCCTGCCTGTCTCCTTCCTTCCTTCCTTCCTTCCTTCCTTCCTTCCTTCCTTCCCTCCTTCCTTCCCTCCCTCACTTCCTACCTCCCTTTTTCCTCCCCTTCCTCCCTCCCTCCCTCCCTCCTTCCTTCCTTCCCTCCTTCCTTCCCTCCTTCCCTTCCTACCTCCCTTTTTCCTTACC